ACAACCCTTGGGTCTTGTACTTTGCTTGGATTGTTTACATGGTGATGTCAGATCAGCAGCCTCCAATTACAGAGTCTCCTCTGGGAGAAAGCATTATGGTAAAAATGGAACAAGGGTTCCCTTTGGTTCACTACACAGAAAAACGCATGTCTGAAGCTTTGTTTGTTGGAGATGTGTAGGTGCTCAGGGCCCAATATTGATCTCTTAAAGGACTGATCACATCCTGTGTGTCACTGTACACCCTCATCTCCCTTAGTAGGTGGTTGGAAATTAGTGTTCAACACAACAGAGAAGCAGACAGACAATCCCTATTTCAACTGACTTCAAAGGAAGTCAAGGGTGCTCAGAAGATGAACAACACTCAAAGTACTTTAAAATAACCTTTAATATTTCCTACAAATCATAATAAAATGTTCATTGGAAAATCCATCTCCTCCTCAAGAAAATAGTTCAATTGACTTCAGAACTGAAAATATCACATTTTTATATTATTTGAGACAATCACTTGACAATTTAGAAATGTTTTTGGTTAATCAGCTTCATCTATTTTTCTTTGTTACTATTGTTCCTTTTTATAAATGAATTGATCCTTGTTTTAATGTATAAGCATAATTCTAGGGATAAGAAGACATTAGCACGCTTAAGAACAAAGTTTACAGTTGCCATGTGAGATTAATTTTGATCCAAGCTATCATACAGAAACAAACAGATCCTATAAACATTTTATCCAATCTTTCTCATGCCAAATCTGATCCCAGAGAATTAAATGGAAGCTATATTAAAGATAAGAACTATGGGACTGAATCTAAAATTAAGAGGCAGTGTACAGCTACAGATTTGATTGTCTGTAGTTAGAAAAGTAATCCAGGATCCCAGTTATAAAAACTGAAAGTTTTGATTGACTTGATAAAATTGTACTGCAGATTTAGAAAAAGAAAACCCATATGACATGGCTCTGTGTTAATGATAATTGCTTAGCAGGGAGTAGTAACCATTTTAAAACTAGGCAAGATCAAGATAAAAGTTCTTGGCGTAGCTTTAAAGGCTAATTAGCTTAATATCAGCAAAACATAAATAGTAATCTATTTAAATAGAGAAATAATGGGTTCTAGGAAGGTTTCCACAACATGAACATAAATATTTTGTTACTAGAGGGTTGTTTCTTCTATATTTTATAAACTGATGACATTTTAGAATTATGCCCAAATCTTTGTAATTAGGACTACAAATAGGGCTGCTGGACTGAGTCTTAATGTCAAATAAACAAACTCCTGCATGCTCAGCATCCCCCTGCCCTGCCAGTAACAACTAAGCTTTCAACAAACCCTGCTCTTCCTTTGGCACTCCTGGTAGCTGGAAGTCACTCATCACTCCTGTTGTCTTCTCCATATGATTGCTGGCTCCCTCACTCTCTTTCACTCATCTTCTGCTCCCTTCCCCCCTCCCCCTGCCCCCAGGATGATACTTTTCTCTTTGTTGAATCCTTCCATCCTCTTGAGTACATGACTGAATCTATCAGCTGTTCTGTGGAGAATGGTTCTATTATACTGCATAGTCTTAAGTTCACCCACGAAATCTGTTTCCTAGACACTACTAAACTATGAATTGCTCCAAAAAGGGGTAAAACTAAGAGCGTCCAAGGCATTTAATTAAATCAATGTATTATTCACTAAGATGTGAATGGATTTGTGTGCTTAAACTGACATGTGTAACTACAATGATTTATACCCAGGCACATCTACACGTGCGCTTTAATGCGCAGTACCCCGTTTTACTGCACATTTCAGCATCACGGCAAAAACTGTGCTAATATGCTAACATGCAGTAAAATTAAGCTACTCCTGCATTACGTGCCACTAAAAAAGCATGCACTTTCACTACTGTGCTTTAGAGCAGCCTAATGCATGTTTAGTTAGTACCTCTTATTAGAGGTACTAAATTTAATGCGCAGTACCAAAAGGGCATTAATGAATGTGTAGACACACCCAGCAAGAACCAGAACCTCCTGAAAGAGCTGAGCCTGGCCTTGATACTATGAATTATGGTAAGAAGTTACCATGAATTATGATAAGAAGCTGAGTCTGGCCTTGTTACTAAGAACTATGGTAATTTACATCCTTTGAACTCCAGGGAAATTTTTGTGTGAGTTTACTGGAGGTTGTAAACTATTTACTGGAGTTTAAAACTATTAAAGCCTAAGAATCAGTCTTAAAGTTCATATATACACAGAAGTCTCACTAGACTCTGGCCAAATTCAATCCTGCTCTGATTTACATAGCCAGCAGAAACTGGAAGGGGAAAAGAGTGCAAGTAATGTACACTGATTTATAATTTAGTGCAGCACAAGTGAAAGTGATTTTATTCTGTGATAATTTGATTCAGTGCTAGCAGACCTAGTCATGTGTCCCTTTGATTTGTTAGGAGTAGTTGGAAATGATGTAGGCATGAATCTGACCCAGAGAGGGTTAGATGGAACCATTTGTGAAGGAAAGTGTTATTCAGGGAGGCATGAGAGTGTACCTTCCTGAAGAACACTTTCCATCACAAATGGTTCTATCCATTTCAATGCAGCAAATTTAGCCATCACATTTGGAAACATGTATAATTCTGTGCTGTGGCTACCTCAATTATGGTGATACTCTGCACAAACTGAGTATAGAACCAATACAAATTCCACTGCTTTTCCATGTTATGAGTAATCTGTGCATGTTTTATGACTGGTATCTTAATTTGACACGTAATTTTTCATCAAGATGAATTTGTCCTGGTCCAAGGCTTCTTCAGTTTGCTAAGCTAATGCAAATTCTGAGTGGTTTCAATGAAGCAAATGGAGCTGGTCTGCATTTATAACCGTGTATTGGGAAGCAGCATTTCACTTACACACGTCGGGCTGCATACAACACTACTGAACACACAAAGTGGTATCCATGGCTGTTCCAGCTATGGATCAAAATCTGTTACCACTTACACCAGTTGATTGATTAAAAAAATTAAAAGCCCATCACCACTTCCATTGCAATTGCACTAGAATAAATGAGTATAGAAACTCTCTTTGGGTCAGATCCTGCAGCTTTACTCGCACCAAACTCCCAGGGAAGCCAGTTATTAATGGTCTCGGTAAATACAGTAGAATTTGGCCCAGACAGAAAAGTAAGAGTAGTGGATGTAATGGAGGACTTCTAGATGACAATCATTATGTTTTGTTGCAAATTGCCTTTTATATTTCTGATCCAATTTTAAAAATGAAAGATATAAAAATCTCCTGTCAATATATGTATTATATAAAAATATGGTGCTTTGATTTTGCTCCCCAGAACCCCAATTTTGGGGGACCAAAGCATCAGCATTGATTTAGAGCTCCACCAGATTCACACTGGGAGAAGATCTGACCATTTAGAGCTGCTCATTGATTTATTTATAGAGCTCTCTGCTCTGTAAGTATATTTTCTGTCCTAAAATATCACAGATACCACCAAGCTTTCTCATTAGGAATAGTTTCTGTCACAGTCCACTCCTATATCTAATTTTACACAATCCTGAGGGAAGGTGAGTTACATGTTCCCTTTTAATATCCATTTGCACTTAGTCCATTTCTGCTCTGAAGAGTGGCACTAGGACCTTTCCTACCTCTCCAAATGATGAGCCTATAGCATTAAGGATGGATATAAATGCCTTGTGTGTCTTGAATACTCAGTGGATCTAATTAACAGGTGGAATCACACCCAGGGTGCTTGAAATATTGCCAGACACCATAGAAACAAATCTTTAAGACCCTGAGCCATCTGCACTTGCTTTTCATTGTACAAAGCTCATTGAAACGTGATTTTCCCCCCATTTATTCAGACTACACTAAATTCAGTTCAGTGTCAATTAATAACTACTACTAAATGATGAGCTTTCCCCCTTTCATTAAAAGAAAAGTAGCCACTACCTCTAAATAAAATTTTCTTGCAACCTGGGGGGAAAAAAAAAATCCCTCATTTGATAAAGGTAGAGGTATACTTCACCTTTTTGAATTTGCCACTGAATAGAGCTAAAAAAAAAAAATTGCACCTTTAACTGAGCATGTTTTTATTTAAAAAATAAAGACAAGAAACAAACCTGAAATCCACAGGCAATGATGTAGCAAGGTCAATAAAATGGATACAATAACAGCAATGTTGGAGGTTTTTTCATGGATTTTGTTGTTTCTTGTTCTTTAAAAAAAATATGCAAGTATGTATGTGTGTGTGTATATCAAATATATATATTCATATTATCTATATTTACATATTTACATTATATATTATATATATTTATACATGTATATATTTATATTTTATAATATAAGATAAGAAAATAATATACTATAATATATATAATGTGTGTATTCATATATATATATATATACATACACATAATATATATATATATATATATATATATATATATACACACACACACACACACACACACACACACACATTTCTGTTTGCTATTATAGAGGACCAGACCTATTTGGTGATGCTTCTGCTTTTTGAAGAAATGACAGTGTCATGAAAGAGGTGGATCGCTGCCTTTTGTTTAATTGAATGAAATAAAATCCCGTCCTGTATCACTGGGACCTCGATGTTGCCTTGTCCCTGCTCTAAAAGATGCCTTGCAATCCGACCTGTTAATGGTCAGAGCGCGTGTTTGACTGGCAAGTCACTGCTGAAACCGTGCTGAAACTGTGCCAAGCAAATCTTATTTAACGAGAGGATATTTGGGAAGGATTGTGCCTATCCGAGAAGAAGGCTGCTTTCAGACATGTATCCAACAGATCTCAGCTGCAGCAGAGCTATAAGCCACCCGCAGAAGATCTCTAACACATCTCAGACACCCTGCTTCTGTCCTCCCCATACGTGCCTGCCTTTGCGGAGGCTGAGTATCCAGCCAAGAGAGAGGCATAGCAATCCGGTGTAGCGGTTGGCTCTATAGATGATGCACGTGCATATGTATTTATATTTGCTCATCATTACCTGTTAGCTGCCAGTCTGGATGCGATATATCCCCCAGGGATTTGAGTGATGATATATCCCCAGAAAAAAGAGCCGTGGATCATGCCAACTGTCTCGGGATCCCAATTAAACTTCGCTTTCTTCCAAGGAGAGAGGGGGAGAAAGAGAAGAGGAAGGCAGTAAGCAGGCCAGATTAAAGCATTCATTAATATTAATTGAACACTCTGCGGTCTGTGGGGAATTGCACATCAAATATGGCAGGTTTTACCCTCTACAAGCAAGAGGCTATAGACATGGGCGCAAGGTGCCTCCAACGTATTAACTGCTAGGTTCAAGCCGTTCATCGCAACGAATTAGTCTAGACTATCTGCCAAAATGTGGCACTTGCACTTAAGAGAAGCGCGTTTGTGTGTGCGTGTGCGTGTGTGTGTGTGTGTGTGTGTGTGTGTGTGTGTGTGTGTGGCTGAGAGATCCACCCAGACGCAGCCGTGTCATTGGCGATCACTGTGCATTATAAATGTGTGATCTTGCAACGCCAATTCTCCCTAGTCTCCTGCCAAGTCTGCATGATCCGGGGTGTGGGGAGCAGGACTGAAAATCACCCACGGGAAAAAAAAAATCCCAGAAGCCTGTTGCAGGTGGGCAAATCCTCTCCAAGTTCATCCGCAGTTAGGGAAGTCAGTGTATTGCAGCGTGCACGCGTTCCCGAGGTTTGCAAGATCTATCGAAAATACATAATACAGGGCTCAGTGGGAATCAGAATTAACCTCATTCCTAGACGCTCAGACGCTCTCATTCCTCTATGCTCACCCTTTACCATTGTGTGTGTACCTATGTCAGCGTGTTATATATATTCTGTCTTTGTGCCTATGTATTATGTGCATATACACCCGCTCTCATTAGACCATTCACTTGCTTAACACCCTTGAATTTTATGACCCCAAATCCAGTCATCCTGGTATTTCCAGAGGTCTACACCAAGCTGCTTCATTTCCTTACAGACCATCGTGCATCCATTTTTCAGTCGCTCATCTGCATTTATCTTAAGGAACGACGTTGATGTTTCTCTAAAGCTGGGCACAAAGGTAAAACACCTGCACGCAAGCTAGTGCCAAGCAAACTGTTGGCAAGAGAAACAAGAAGGATCGACCTTGCTCTCTCCTGGGCATTTCTGACCTCACGGTCCTCTTTTCGTTGCTATTCTAAGTACAATATGAAGCTGGACTGAGGCAATTTGGGTCGGGAATCCTCCGACCCAAAAACAAGGGCATTAGAGTAGAAGTAAAAGGAAATCATCCCTACTTTATTGGTGATTGTGGAAGCACCATGAAAGCCTACAGGGCCTCTCGTGCATTATTTTCCTTATTGGGGGTTGGTTTTCCCTCACCCCCGGGGTATCTAGTAGTGTTGAGAGGGAGTGGGTTTTACGGGGAGTGATTCCCACCTCTTTAATAATTTTTCCTCCTCGGTGTATGGTGCTGTTGTTGACCATGTCCACGATGGCTACTCCCAAATTACAACGGATTCCAAAGGAAATGCAGAATCCCAGTCCGCTCATGATGGCAATGATATATCTTCGGGGCAGCCCAAAACAGGTGCAGTCGCAGAGAGGAGCTTTCTTCTCGGGCATGTCCAGAGGTTTCCCATCTTCCGTGAGCTCGATATTGTCCCCAGGCTTCTGTTTCTTCTCTAGGACTCTGCCCAATGCAAAGGGAAAGACAATCAAGGGACCTGAAGTCAACTCTCCCAACCACTTTAAATAGCAGGGGTATTTGGGTTCTGATTCTTGCTCTTATTTAACTCACAGGTATTATTTAGCAATGACCTGTAGGATTTACAACTAGTCATTCCCCCCAAACTCGAGGAGGATTAGTCCTCTATCCTTAAAGCCTTGTGCGGAAATATATAGGCTGCGTTCAGAAGACATCACCAGTATCTACTGCGGAGGAGCCATATTGGCTGGTTCAAAGGCGGTTGCTGGGGACTGCAAACATATTTGGGGGCAGGGTTCAGCTCTAGTGTCTTTATTACATTTTAAAAAAATCAAGGGAACGCATCTTGCTTGTGATTAAGGGAGCATAAGGAGGGTTGTGAAGCTGAACAATTATTTCTATTTATTCCAGATTTGCAAAATGGCTGTCACACGTATTGGAAGAGAAATGTGCCAGTGTTTTGAAAAAGAGCCTCTGCAGAGGACTCGACGTCCTTGCAGCATGAACAACTTCCATTTCAGAAAGAGTCTAGTCGATCATCCGAACACACCGCCCATTAGAAACCACAAATACATCTCACATCAAGAATATACATTATATAAATACACACACTATGATCACGAGCAGGATTTGGTCTTTGCATTGGTTGTATAGGTTGGTTTTATACAGTGATCACGGTGCCCATCGTTGACTAAAAAGCTGAAATCAAAGCGTCTAAGGTACAACGTGTAAAATTATAAAGGAAAATGTAATATTGACACCTATTTCGATATAACACGATAGAATTCTAGGGGCATTTTCACCTACACGGAGAGCTTCAATATATATATATATATTTCCAGAGGGGAATCCGAATAAATAAATACAATTCCTGAAAGGGCTTGTCGACATCAAAATGCATTGTGATTATCATACGAAGGTGCCCAGTGATGAATTTCTTGATTCTGCTATGAAAGGGCCAGTTTCATCTGGCGCAATGTGCATCCCCTTCAAAACAAGGCGTTGGAAAACCGCATGGAAAGAGTCAATTTTGATAAAGCGCTACCTTGGTTCCCATCGGACCAACATTTTTTCACGTGAATAATTCTCCTTGACTGTGTAGTCTCAGATCAGCTCATGTCAGTAACATCTAAGGGGATAGCCAGGATCTGGCCTCAAATATTATCTGTATTCTGGATCAGGAACAAATATATCAACCCAGCCATTCCTCAGTTATACTCCTTTTACTGCTCGCGCCAGTGCGGCTTGTAAGACCCCGTCTTTTTCAAGTGTTGCTAAATGGAAAGATACATTTCAAGTTTAAACTGGTTCGTTCAAATAGGACAAAATGCGAAACCCGGCTTGCTCAAAGAACTGCCCGTGTTCTTTATCAAATTAGGTCAAAGTATTTCGGACAGATACAAACGGATCAACACAAACCACGGCGGCTTCTGCTCGAAAATGACGAGCAGAAAATCGTAGTTTAATACTCCGTAATGGGGATAATCCTAGTGGAATCTGTTTTACATGCTGGGGTGGTATATTTTATAACATTTGGTTGAAAGTTAGAGAGTGACTATGGTCTCTACATGGTGTGGAGGAATGAAGTTTATTTTTTTGTGTGTCAAAGAATGGACAGGTGGCCTCAATCGTTGCATTTACATTGGTTGAGTCTGCTTGAAGATCAGTAAAGTTCCCTTGACATTTTAAAAGACTCGTTTTTAATTATTCAGTTTTTTTCCCTTCCTAAATGCCCTTCCCCCCCCCCCCCCCCCCCCCCCCAGGCACTTTAAAGAGACTGAATTCCTCGTGGCAAAATAACCTTGTATTTCTAGACTCCAACTCTACGGATTCCACCTTGAAAACAGAAACTTTCAATTTCTTCTTTATAATTTTAAATATTTTCCCTTGCATAAAAAAAAAGGCATGGGATGTTGTGCCTCCTGTAACCTTACTGTTCGAATATTACTCCTGCAGTATCGTACTGCATGGCCGCCACGGAAGAGAAATAGGTATTCAAAGAACTCCATCCTTAAAAAATAATAATTCTAATACATTTGGGGAAATTAAGTCACTTCAAAAAAAAATCAGAATCTAAAATATATGGAACCGATTCTCATTTTATAATTTCTTTTCCTCCTAAATAATATCTTGAAGGTGTAGGAAGTCGTCAGACTCGAGATGCATTTGATGCGTCCACACTACGAGGATGGTGTGTTCAAATGTTCTGACCACCCTTTGCAGGGTGTGTGTGTGTGTGTGTGTGTGTGAGAGAGAGAGAGAGAGAGACAGAGAGACCGGAATCCTCTACACACCTTGAAGAGGGTAGAAATGCAGACCCGCGGACACCCGCTGTTGAATTGCATCTCAAATTTCATCCGTTGCGATTGTGAATTTGCTATAAAATCCTTTGATCCTTTTTCTGCGCAGACGGATAAATAATTGAACGCATCACTCTCTATGTTTCAGCTTCAGAGGGAGAAATCGTTCGGTTATCAATTATTTATGCATGTCCATGTTTTTCTGCCTCTTACAGGCGATCCCACAAGGGAATCAATCGAAATCGGGAACGTCTTATTTTATGCCTTTATTTGTGCAATGGACCTGTCAGAAGATTAGAATGTTTTGCAAAATTAAAATGAAATGATAAATCGAGGGAACTGCTAGTATTTAAAACAGGGTCCGATTTTAGGGACAGAAATATGGGGCGGGGGAATCTCTCAGTACATATTTACAAACACCCTTCACAAATCAGATATACAGGTTATACCCGTGCCATGCTCCGATGTTGTTGCGTTAGTTCCTAGGATCCAGATTGATATAAAGAAAATCTATAAATAGCCATTAGCCTATTCACAATGAAAGGTGCTCAGATAGAGGCTATCCGACCTGATCCACCAGTGGCAAGTCATTATTTCTTGTAAGAAATTCAGCTCTATGAAAGGTCTTTCTTACCTGTAGATGTGGCCAAGCGATTTCCCCGCAAAATTCTTCAGCCCCTCCTTGCCGGGGGTCAAAATCCTTTGTTTTACCGACTCCATTCCTGCCGAGGTTGTCACTGGGTTCTGCTCTGTTTTGAATAAGGCACCGCTATAAACAGTGATGATCTCTCATATTGGTTTAATCTCTAACTTTTTTCACTCATGAAATAGCTATTGGTGCGTCTTCAGATGAAGGGAGAGTGGGAGAGAGAGGGTGTGTGTGTGTGAGAGAGAGAGAGAGAGAGAGGCGGCGTGTGTGTGCGAGGGGGAGCGCGCATGCAGCCCACGGATTTCCTAACAGAGCAGAGTTGGGAGATACGATTAGAAAGTCTTTTTGGATGTGCAGGATCCAGCGGCGGAAGGTGGAGGCAGTGCCATGCTTGGTTTGGGAGGGGAAAGAACCCTGTTTGCTAAGAGGAGAAAGTCCCGGAGTTGAAAATAAATCCTGGTTTCAGGCGGAGTGTTTCCCTGCACTGTAGATTTTGAGTTGGGGGATTCTTAAGGTTTACCTTGCAATAGGAGAAGTCAAAAATAAAAATAAAAAGTTCCCACTGCCTAGCACACACCAGCTTGAGAGACCCTGCTGGCTGAGTTGCAAGCCTTCGGATAAAAACAGCGCTAGCGTTTCATTACTGTGAGCTACTCCTTAGGCACCTGCCTATTCCGGCGCAGCTCGCCCAGAGCGGCAATGTAGAGTAGACTGGGACTTCGGGCTCCGTGGGGCGGCGATTCGGATCAGCACAGCGCCCCGTCTCGCTCCGGAGCGCGTTCAGCACCACAGACAGCTCCCCTGGCTCTGGGCTCGGTCCCTGGCGCGCTCAGCACCACGGAGAGCGCGAGCGGTAGCTCTGCCTGGCAGCCAACTTTCTAGGGGAATTGGGAGGATTCATTGTGGGGCTCTTGAAGACTGGATGCTATGGAAACCGAAGAGGAACCATGTCAGCATCTCTTTCCAGGTTTTTTTTTTTTTTTTTTTTTTTTTTCCTTCCCAGAGAATGGCCCAGGGAAA